GTATGCGAGCCTTCAATTACGTGATGGCAGTAAAGAGGAGAGGAGAGGCAATATTTCATTTTAAACAGGCGTTGTCTAATGGGCTATTAAATACTTAAAAATAAAGATATAGCAGTTATGAGGGAATGCGCATCTATATGTGTCCATCCATTAAAAAAATTTTCGTAATTTGTTCCTTGAAGTAGTTAGACAGGATAGACCGATCATAATTGTGGACAGTATACATTCAATCGACACTCAAGCACTCATGGTTTTCATTTCCGACTACATACTGTAAGCAACCACAGCCACGAATGAAGAAGTTACATGCTATCTAATTCGAACACTCGAAATTTGGGCTAAATCTCCAGGTTCTTCTTCGAAGATGACAGTTTTACGTGCGAGATTTGACGCGAGATCGAAGACTTCATCGAAGAAAATTCTATCTATGGCACCGGATGCTCTATATTGAGACCATCTGATATAACTAGTATTCATATATCAAACAAACATAATTCAATTTTCTTCGCTTCTTTAATATATAGCCAAGATCTTTTCATGCTATTATAAGGTGGAAGTCACCTTCACTGAGTGTATTGATAAATTTCATCCAATGTAGGAAAATGTGAAAACTTAGAACATGCATATTCTTTCAGTATTTGAATAATCTATTTTAAAAACACGTATTCCTTAACAACACGTATTTTATTGAAACGTTCGTTTTGAAGAAAAGACTATTCTAAAGAAAGAAAATAAAGTAAAATACATTTTCATTATGTTTTAGTTGCAAAAATGTGATTTTTACAACTGTAAGATGAAGTTTCTGTACTAATGAGAGAAGGTCGAGCATTTTCAAGTCTTTGTATTTTCTATTGTCTAAAAACAAATATCTAAAACTTATCTGCATAACACAATTTTAGTTCTGTTTTGTTGCATTCTAGCTTTCGTAAAATTTTCAAAAAGTTTGGTAGCATCATTTCTAACAAAAATCTATAAAATCCCTCATGAAACCGTCTCTAAAAAATATGAAACTATGGAGCATTCATTAGAGTGTGGATATAGTCCTTCTTTTTACCCACACCCACACCCACACCCATCATTAAACCTTTCAGCATCTTCTTTTTATTTCGATCGTTATTTTTCTGAGGGAAAATTTTTTTTAATATGGTGTAAAATAGACCGTTTTTTACATGTTTTTTTTTCCCGACGTACAGTGTATCTTTCTCTCACAGCGTGCTCACCTTCTATTTTCTTTGTTCTGGGATTGATTTTTTTTCTTCCTATCTTCTGTACTATCACATGTGGAATCTTCCTTTTCGTACTCTTCGTGTTAACTGGATTTTTTTTCCGTTGTTATAATTCTTGTTGAATTATTCCTATCGTGTTTATGATTATGGACATTTTCATCGTATTCATCTTTAGAAACAGAACATAATTTCATCATAAAAGACATATTGTTCACACATTCATTTTCTTCGATGTACTAAGTCAGCCTCTTAAGAGGTTCACATCCTTTACAACATTGATTATAAGTTTTTTCAGAAAGATTCAATAAATAAGATTCGAAAATAATACAAAATACAATTGAACGTGACAAACGATAGAACTTACATCAACACATGTCATGATACTGTTGAACTTCTAACGTGAATATCTTCTGCAAAGAACGTCTTACCACAGACGTGAAAAACTAGTGAAAAAAAACGTATCTATCAATAGAAATAACCAGAGATGCCAACGATGTTTTAGCAGCATTAGTCATCTCACTAGTATGAATGATATGTGGTCTTTCGCTTGACATTTGCATCATTTCCTCATATTTCTAACAAAAGTGAACAATTTTCAAGTCGTTCCCTCATACACTTCCTACATAAGAAAAGATTATCAAAAAACCACAAAAAAATCGATTATAATAAAAGAATTATCAAAAGTATCGAAATTTCTTCGATTATTCTGATTAGATATGATTAAAAATGGTGAAAAAAAAAACATTTTCAATCAATTTTCATCTAACTATAAGCGTTAAAAGTTTAATCAAGTTTTGTTTATTGTACATTGCTTATAAGCAATATGTTAACGGCTTTTTAATCAAAAATAATGAGGGCAATCAATGAAATTTTGATACTTTTAATTATTTTTTTTTTAAATTGTAATCGATATAGAATCGATTTTACGCATTATTTATTTTTCATGGACTGCATGAGTAATAGAAGGAAGTAGAAAATTAAATTATAAACAACCTTGAATATTGACGCAATTTAATTAGAAACATAGTGAGTCAGTTGATACTAATTAGGAAGCTTATTTTTAGACTGGAAAAAGCCTTTTTATTTATTTAAAATTGAATAAAATCATATAAGATCATATCTATAGTGAATATTTGACAACATGAGAAGTGCATCTATTATATCTCCTGCGACTAATGGGCAAGATAATTTCTTTTTATGGGGAATGATTTTGCTTCCAATTTTATCATTAATGGCGTATGTCTACGATGCATTTTACTATTACCATGTGTTAGTCAAATCTGAGCAGTCAATCTATGAAGGCCTTTTCTCGACAATTCTTATCGTTTTTTCATATCTACAATATTGTGCTCCAATTAAATCGGTCCGTTTATTATTCTTTTACCACTTGTTCTTATGGGTACTTGTTGAAATTGGTCATATTGGCTATATTCTCTCATATATTTACAAGAAAAACATTTTCTCAATCGTTATATTTTCGGGATGGATGGTTCTAGACATAGTCTTTACTGCGGCTCTTATTTATTGCCGTGTATATCGGAGACATCATCATAACATAGAAGTAAAAAACAAACATATTTTTCATTTCATTTCTCGATTGGAAATTATTCTTGCCATATTTATTCCTATTTTTATTAGTGAGAAATTTGTGACAATAACTCGAGATAATATCGCTTTTTTCCTCTTATTTGACTTTTTTTCAGAGACATATGAACGTTTTCGTAGTGGTTGGATCAAATCATGTCTCTATTTGTTTGTAGTCGCTGTAACTATATCTGTGACATGTGAATGGCTCTATTTTCGTTTCGAAAAGCACGTATTCGAGTATATTACCGATGTTTCCGAACTCGTAGCTGCGTGTCTTTGTGATACTTTAATTATCATGCAGTTTAATGAATGCTTTTTCGATAGTCATACTGAAATTAACAATAACAACAGAGAGAGAGAGCTTCTCTCTACCGACACTACAAGACAACAATGGCACCAAGACAGTTCGACAGATGATGTTTATATCATCCTACGGCTTTGATGATTTATTCATAGTAAACTTGAAGTTAATATGTTATATATAATTAATAAAAAGAAAATTGTGAAGATTAATCGATTTTTCTTTTTTACGACAATACTATGTTAATGCTTGTTCGCTTTTTATTTCGAATAAAGCTATTGAAATGATTGAAATATGTGCTGTAGCAAGAGAATATCAATTCAGACAAGCTTTTTTCGTTTTTATATTCGCTTGAGAGAAAAAGAAAAAAATAAGAAATATACTATTAGAACTTGGTAGTTTAATCATAAATCTTTGTTTTTATACGGACAAACTTTCCATATACTGTTCAAAATTATCATTCTCGAATGAATTTTATCTGCTTGAACAAATAGTTCATCATCTATAATAAGGCTTTTCAATTTAATATCATTATTAAAATTGTTTTATTACTATTGCGAATAATTCATATTTGATGGTAACCATCAATAAAAAAGTATCTTTATGGAAGTCAATTGATATGCGATCTGTTTTCGACCACTATTGACCTAGAATCGACATATGAACCAAATTGGTGATATTTTCTTCTAATGAAACTACATTGAACGTCTTCGTTTGATGAAAGATTTATTTAAATATTATCAAAACAAACAGGTGGGTCTACATTGAAAGTATATTTGTTTTATCGTGCCATACAAATAAGAATCCAATCAGGACTGTGTTTGCGATAAAAAAATAAAAAACTTGTTTTCCTACATTTTGAGTTGAATCATATCTTGAAAAGTGTAATGAAAATGTTGAGTTTCTCTATCTTCTCAACGGATATATACAATAAATTACTGCTGCTTTACGTTTGTAGATTTCTTGTATAGTGTTAGAACAAACATTTTTCGCTTAGAACGACAAATACACATGTTCGTTTTTTGAGTCTTTGATTCGATAAAACAAAGTACTATTTTGAGTGTGAGTGTGAATTTAGAGAAAATCCACACCCACGCCCTATTCACCAAAGCACATATAACGTCGTTTCCAGAAGATTTTTCTCGAAATATCTATCACTACAACAAGTTTTTAACTTTGATTGATAACAACGATGACTTTATTGTTATACATCATCGTTTACTGAATGAACCCATCATACTAAACATCAAATAATTTTAGTAATCGCAAAACATATCGATCTGAACCCAAACAATTATTGAATATCAGAATAAACCTAAGCCACGACGATCGACAAAATCTTTCAAGACGCCAATCTGAACATCCTCATATCTTCCCTAGATATTCATTGAAGCTAGAAGTCACCATTTACTCATAGTCATAAACGAAAAAAGTCATACGAAAATATAGGACCATATTGATATAGAACAAAAGGTGTAAAAAACGTAACAAAATTATAATACTCACAGAGCGCGAACAATATCCAAATAGAGATGCCCAAAATTCAATGCTAAATGATAGAATCAAGACTTCTTCACAAAATCAGAACATAAAAAAGACACAGGCATCTCAATAACAGATGAAATTAATGAGACAAGAATCGAGATCAAAGTGCATAACATTAAACACGAGTATATGATGAGATCCTTAAGCAAGGTCATAATGCGTCATGATTTATTTGATATTCACACCCACACCCTTCCTAATTAGAGACATTTGTCTAGTTCTGTCCATACAATTACTGGTTTTGAAGAATATATACATATATATTTAATTCATCGTGATCTTATCAGTCAAGAATATCAAAATTCGTTTTTTTTTCAATATTCTTTAAAACATTATAAATGTTACTTTTCTTCTATATGAACTGTGTTTGCGTCTAGTAATGATTGTTCAACATAATTTCCATTATGTACATCAGGTTCAAGTTGTTGTTCAATTTCTTCATATGTTTCAGCATCATCATCTGTCATTTTATTTGAATCCTAATTAAAAATGAAAAAAAAAGAAAAAAAACAGGAATCAAACAATTTTGCCTTAGCATTAACTATTTACTTCAAGTTTTTTCATCAATACAGCAACAACAACATTGAGAAGTACAAATTGAGCCACAAGAACAAAAACAATAAAATAAATAGGTGAAATTATTGTCATAAAATAATTTTTTCCAGCATTAGTGGAATCATCTTGACGTAAAGTATCCTTTAAAACAAGATTTATAATTAAAAAAAAAAGAACTAATCATTTTTTTCAATCATTTACTTTCATAATACTATTCCAATTATCACCTGTTGCAATACGAAATAATGTAAGAAGAGCTATACCAAAATTTTTAAAATGTGCATGTTTATCAAGACCACTACATGGTTTTTCTTCACTACATTCTAATTTTCCAAATAATTCAACACCAAGTGTAGCAAAGATAAAGAAAAGAAGAAAGAATAAAAGACCCTAATTTTAAAGAATAAAACAAAAAAAAAATTCTTAAATAAAAACAAAAATTCGATTTACCAAATTTCCAACTTGTGGAAGAGCTTCAATAACAGTATCTAATAGAGCTCGAACACCTTTAGCAACTTTCAATAGTTTAAGTACTAAAATAGAAAAGAAAAAAAAATGTTTTATTCACTTTACTTTATTCATTTACCTCGTGCAATTCTCAATACTCTGATTCCACGAATAATTGTAGGATTTATTGGAAGAATATGTTCACTTGAAATTTGTTCCATTACAATACTAACTATTGATAAAAGTACAATAAATGAATCCAATTGATTCCATCTTAAAATCAAAATTAAATTAAAAAAAAAAATAAATCTCAAATTATTTTATTTTTCTATCTTACTTATCTTTAAAATAATGTGATGGTCCAAGTGCAATAATTTTTAATATAAATTCAATTAAGAATACAAACGTAAATACATAATTACAATATTCAAGAAATTTATCTAAGTTCTAAAAACAAAAACAAAAAAAAAATTTTATTTTCACACTATATAATGTGAATATTATATTTATTTTTTTCTTACAGATGGCATAGAATAATATTCAAGTGACATTGTAATAACATTAAAACCAATAATAACAGCAATAATTAAATCAAAATATTTATTAATACATAAATCATGTAAATATTTACGCCATGGTGAAAAATGTGTATAATATGGTAATTTACACATAAGATGTTTTTTACGTTCAAGTTTTTTTCTATATTTTAATTTATTTTGAGCTTCATTTTCAAGTTCTTGTTGAGCTCGACATTTATGAAAATTTTCAACAACAACACCAACGAACATATTCAAAACGAAAAAACTAACAATTAATATAAATGATATAAAATAAATTAATTTTGATTCACTATAATTCTTTATTGGTTGCATGTCAACATCAACAGCATCAATACCATTATACATTATTGTTACCCAACCATCTTTTGATGAAAGAATAAATAATGTTAGTAAAGCCTAAATAAAAGTAAACAATTTTTTTTTATAAATTATTTTAATAATAAAAATATATTTGATGACATACTTGACCCAAATTATCAAAATTGTATTGTTGATTTTGCCATTGATGATCGGACATAGATTCACATTGTTGTTTTGTTGTTAGATTACGAATAAGAGGACCTTCGCAATAGTAGAATTTACCTTTGAATAGCTGGAAAAATTTTTCTTTTTTAAAGTAAATAATGAGATTGAAAATTTATGAAAACGCGTGAAAAAAAGTGTTGCTTCGTCTTGTCAAAAATCAAAGATTTCAGATATCAAATTTAGGAAATAGAGAGTCACAAATTGTCATGGATCTCATGAGAGGTCGGATGTGTATGATCATTAACCATAGATATGGAATAGTAGTCAGCTGAATAAACACCTCAAAACTCCAGAAATTTAGCAACCGGCGTTACCAGTTTTCGACTGAACTGAGCATAAATGGCTACTGGGTTCCGCTCCTATGGTTCATCTATTTCCCACCGGAAACCATCCATTAGAATTAGCCTTGTCTCGTTCCAAGGCTATACTCTCGTAGTTCTCTACCATATGAAGTTATTTTTTTCTGTTTCAGCTATACAGGAAACTATTTTAACAAAAGTACGATCTCTGAAAAAATTGATTCTTAAATTTTGAATAAGAGTCACTTTTCAGAAAACAAAAATTCTTTTAGTATATTCTTAAGTGAAACTTTAAAAGTCGTGAAAAATGAGTATAGTAAAACTTTGACTAGATTTCTAATATATTCCGGATGAGTATCGAACTTTATTTATATTAATTATTATTGTCGTATAATAATTTCAAGAGTATATGATTGTGAAATTTTTATATCGATCTGCATCTCTCTCTCTCTCTCTTTTACCTGAACACCAAGAATACCAAATATGATAAAGAATACACAACAAATAATAACAATATTACCGATTGGTCTCAATGATGAAAGTAAAGCATGTACGACAAGTCTAAGACCAGGTGCTCGATTAATAACTAAAACAATATAATAGTAAAATTAATCAAAAGAAAAAAGAAAAAAAAAAAACAAATGTCTTTTCCAACCTCGAAGTGGTCGTAATGCTCGTAATAAACGAAAAACTCTTAACATGCCCATAATATGTGATGTTGTATCCGACTTTGTAGATAATGTACTACTACCATGATGCATTATACTAATATCAATAAGTGAAATAATTACAAGAAATCCATCCATAACATTCCAACCAGTATGTAAATATGTATGAGGTCCGAAAAAAAGTCCACATGCAATTATTTTAATCATCATTTCAATAGTAAATATAGCTGTAAATATATAATTAGTATAGTTCAAAAATTTTCGTTCCTATACAACAAAAATTACGATTTTTAACTTTTCATTTGAAAATAAAAATTAAATAATGACATACAAAACTTATAGGAGAAATTGATGGACGTTCCATAGCAAGTGTAATACAATTGAAAAGAATAAAGAAAAGAATTAAATAATCAAATGATTTTTGTACAATTAATCGTTGAAATATTTTGCGTAGTCTATTAGCAAAAAAAAAAGAAGGAATCATAAATTTTCCTATTGGAATTATTTTTCCGAACAAAATTTTTACTTATTTGAAGGTGAAAAAAGATAAAGTGAATAGTTTTCTCGATGTTTTAAACATTCAAATATTCGTTGTCCACAAATTCGACTTAAACATGATCGAATAACCTAACATTATATAAAATTTATGATACTAAATGAATCTTTTTCATAGGAATATTTACGCCTGATTTCTGAGTTGTTAATTCCAGTTGTATATTATCATCTCCAGTTAACACATCTAATTGTATATCATTTTGATCATTTACTGGTAGTTGAGTACTACTAGCAAGTTGTATAGTATTATTCGCCTTAGATTCTGTATTTATATCATTGTTTTCATGTCTTCTTGGTATTTGATCAATATTTGTTATATTATTCGATTCTTGTTCAATAGCATTCCCTTCATGAACAATAAAATATTGTGTTGATAATAATGGAAATGATTGATCAAAATTTGTACTAAGTAAAGTACCAACTAATGTATCTTGTCGTCGATCATTATTATTATTATTATCATTACTGAGTTCAATACTTGTTGATTCATCGAGTTCCTTAGGTATTTGAATATTACCTGTAATAATTGCTTGTGTCTGAAAATAAATATTTTTTTTAAGAATATGTCAATTTTTGTATATCATTTTATATGTCTCACTTTAAATGGATCTGGTTTGTCCAATCTATCCATAGTATTATTACTTTTTGTTGAATTATCTTCTTTCTAAATAAAATAAAATAATGATAAAACATTTTAAACAAAAAAAAAGAAAAACATTAATTTACATCATTTGAAAAACCTTCAACAAGAATAGCAACAAGTAAATTAAATAATATATAATTGCCAAATATCATAAGTGCAATAAAATATAATGCTGACCATGGACTTGTCTTTTCCATTCCATTATAAAGTACTTCATTCCAATCTTCTTGTGTTAATATCTATTTATATAAATGAAATAGTTAATTGAAAGAATATATTTATGCTAAGAAGAAGTAAATAATAAAGCTAAGAATAGGAAAATAGTTTTATATATTTAAGAATGACAATACAAAATCCTATTGATTCATATTTTATAATACCTGAAATACGGTTAATAATGCAACACGAAGTGAATCGAAATTTGCTCGCTCTTGTACACATGTTAAATCTTTGAGATCAGTAGAATTTTTTAATAAATTCCATTCGACACATGTACAACAACGACATTTTAAATCCATTGGTTTACGTGATGTTTTATTGAATGCTTCAAGCGTACAAAATTCACCACCGAATAAATGCATACCAAGAAGGCTATTCAAATTTAGAAGAAAAAAAAATAGGAGTAAAATAACGTGTATATCTGTATAATGACAAAATAAAGGACTGTATACCTACGGTTTATTTCAAATATTCATTCCAGGAGTATTTTAGACAAGAGAGAGAGAGAATTGTTTTTCAATAGACTTACCTGAAAATGAATATGAAGAGCATTAATACTAATAAAAATGCTGCAACACTATCCAATGTTCTTGCCATGACAACCTAGATAACAAACGACAAAATACAAAAACAATTGTTGAAGTATATATCCAGGAATTTGAGTCATCTACTTCTCACATACAAGAACTCTTATACAGTATTTCATCGTGTTTCACATTTTAATCTCTTAGGGGTATGCCCAAACCTTTTTTTCACTTTGGTTATAAAAATTTTTCTGATTAGCTGTTGTCAAAATTGACAAACGGTCTTATCAAATTGATCATTGAAGACTTCATCAGCTATCGACCAAATCCTTAATCAAATACGGCGATGACACAATGTACTATGAAAACTTCCTCTGTTTGTCTTTCAATCCTTATTTTGTTGATATTTAATGAAAAGTTATCTTTGTTAAACATAAGCTATCCAGGTTGAACAAAATGGTCCGTAAACGAGTAAACAATGGTGTACTCACAGCTACTCATTTCCGACAAGTTGTACGTGAATTATGGAATGTTTTATGGGGTCATTTACAGAATGCTGTATACAATGATATAACAGAGACCGTTTACAGTTGCTCGATGGATTCGAATGATTTTCAGTACCGCCATCATTCCAAAAAAATATTGATACTTTTAAAGATACAGTGACTGATGATTCACATATTAGTACTCTTTACATAGCTACTATCTCAGATACGTCTCATGGTAGCATGTAGGTGAGAATTTTGCGAAGACTCACATCTACCTGAATGTTAAACTGTAATTCAACTTACTAATTGTCGTCTTAATGTTGGCATAAATCGAATAAGTTTTAGTACACGTAATAATCTAAATGTACGTAAAACAGATAATCCACTATTTTTTGCTCCAAATAATTCAATAAGACCGATTAAAACAATTCCACCATCAAATATATTAAATGCATTTTTAATATATTTTAAACAACCTTCAGCAATTATTTTTAATAACATTTCAATTGTAAATAAAACAACAAAAACATAATTGCTATATTCTAATATATTTGTTAAGGATTGTGGTTGTCCATGATATTCAATAGCCATTGTAAATGTATTTGTAACAATTGCCAAGAGAATAATGTGATCATAATATTTACTAGTAACAAAACGTAAAATTAATTTTCGTATCATTGTAAAATGTGAACAACAACAGATTTTACATCGTTGATGAAATTTTAATTTTTCTTCTTCTATTTGATTATTATCGGACGTATTAACAATTTCATCTTGATAATAACAATCACACATATCATTACTTTCTATTAGTTGTTCATTCCGTTCAAATTCAAGATTTTCATTTTTTTCAATAAGTGAATTATCATTTATTGACGTTGGAGAAATATTACATGTATCAGTGTCATGATCAATCGATATTGGTAATGGCATTGGTACTAATAATGATTGAGATTGATAATATCGACAATTCGGTCGATGTTTTTGATTAATTAATGGAGTTAACGAAACTATATTGACATTAGATGAAGGTAATGTATTTGATGTTAATAATTTTTTTGTTGCTATTACTTTTTGATGATGTCTTTGATTAGCCTTTGAAAAAACAAAACAATTATTTAATTTTATTTCTTCTATATATACAAATAGTAATCAAAGCTAAATGATTTTTAGAATTGAAGAAAATTTTTTCGATAATGCTATTTTTCTAAATGCACTTAAAATTCAATAGAGTATATTCTCTAGTGAACTCGATTACTTTTTAACAATCAAATAGCAGAGGCCAAGAGCGAACCAAACCATTTTTTCAAAAGTTCTAACCAAACAGAACAAAACTCAAAAACTTCAGTTCGTTTTTAGCTTTTAATTAATACTTTTGAAACTGTTTCTAATCGATCAGATTACTACTATAATAGTCAATCAATGGTATTAGAAGAGAAAGGCATCTTCTAGTTAATGTTGAGAAACTGATAAGTTCCCATCAACAATATGGGATATGAAAAAGTACCACTCGCAATCTCTAGTGACTTGTCGTTCATATAATTCGATTAATTAATCTTTAATCAACTGACTAGAATCTATGCAATGAAAACTAACATTACAATCTTCTGATTAATTTTATGCAATTTTTTCGTTACACTTACCTTATCATGTTTTTGTCGATAATTTTTCATGAATATTCTGAATCGTTTACATGCATGTCTTAATAATCGTTGAAAATATTTAATTATTTCTTCCCAACAAGAACCTACTCGATCACTTGTTACTGTACTTAATGAACCTGAAAAACGTTTTTGTTCAGTTAACATTCGTTGTGTTTCACGTTTTTTTGTTATACTAAATTGTGCAGAAATAACAACAAGACAAAGATTCATCATAATAAATGAACCAATAACAATAAGACATACAAAATAAATCCAATCCCAAAATGAATGAGCATCTTGTATATAATACATTATAGTAACCCAACTTTCAAGACTAATTATCTAATAAATAAAATAAGAAATGAATATAATTAGTAATTATTTAACGAATAAATAAGAAACAAACTTGAAAGATAGCCAACCATGCTAAACCAATATTATCGAAACTAATCGAACCAGAAAATGGATTTTGATCAGAAATAGCACATAATTTATAATATTGATTCCAATTAATACATCCATTTATTACATTATTCGTTAATGATAAATTCAATGAATAAAAATCAAGTTCACATGTCATATTATCACGATGAAATTGTGGAATTTCTGAACATTTTGTCATTCCATTCGATGATGGATCAGAACAAATAAATGAATCTTGATCAGAAGGAATATAAAAAGATTGTAAAGGAAAATCACTTAAGAAAAAAAAGAAAATAAACAATGAAATATTTCCGATTTGTTTTTTTTTTTTTGATAAACATACTCGTATATTGCATAATTATCTATAATTGTCGTATTCAATTGTAAAAAACAACGATTACGTAATAATCCTTTCCATAATTGTACACCAATAATACCAAAGATAAAGAAGATAAAAAAACAGAGAACAAGTAAATTACCAAGCATAGGTAATGTATCAAGTAGAAGCATAATAAGAATACGCATTGATGGTACACGATTAATGACACGTAATGGACGAAGTACTCGAACTGTACGAATAGCTGTTAGACTTAAATTATCACCTGGCATCAACAATTCCACGAATCTAAATGTTAATAATTAATAACTTCTTATTCTCATTTCTACACTTTATTGTCTCTTATAGATTCAAAATATACATTAAAAAAAAAAAAGAAATCATTGATAGCGTTAATTTTCATAGTGTGTATTATTGATGATTGTTGAAAAACTTCAGGCATTTAGAGCTTTTGAAATGACTTCAAATAAAAAGAAACTTTGTTTTCAAGTTCTGTATAAAAAACATATTCGTCTCACTTCCAATAATTTTCATCGTTAAACTCATCAAATCTTAGATCAAATTTCTTAAAGAAAATTTTAGCTTTTTTTTTTTCTTTTTGTTCAAAACAAAAGTTGATATAATCATACCCAGTAAGAACAATAAAACAATCAAGTCGATTCCATGAGTCCGCAAGATAAGTTCCTTTACCCCATATTCCCATCGCTATCATTTTAATACACATTTCAATTGTAAAAAATATAAAAACAAATTGATCTGCTGTTTGAACCCAAATACAACGTGGTGTATCACATTTTTTCGATAATTCTATATCAGTATGATGTGCACATGGTTGATACATACCAAGTGTAATACAATTAAGCAAAATAACAAAAATACTTATACGTTCAAACCATGACCATGTTATAAGTTTTAAACATTGATAACGTGGTGGTGTCCTTTGTCGAAGACAATAAAAAGTTTTTTCTATAAAACCTGGAAATGGTAATTTATTTTTATCTGTTTCTTCAAGATTAGATAAATCTGGTAAATCACGCTCATTAAGAAAACGATCAGTTTCATTTATATGTGAATCATCATTTGAGATATGAACAATTGTTGGTAATGATGTATAAAACATGTTTTTATTTATCGTATTATTTGCAGTTGTCAAACGATGTTTATCCATGACTGGACAATGACTGTTACTGAATGATCGAAATGGAATGGAAGGCAACGATGACCAACATCGAGAAGCATCTAGGAATTAATAAAGTGTTGTTTATATTAAACGTCAACAAACTATATCTATGTCATCATCGATTGTTTCACAAATTATCAGTTTCTAAAGCTATTATTTATATGGACTACCTTCATCAATACTGTACGCAGCTATCAGTTTCGATAAACATACAACTATCAGTCTTTTTTGTCGATTTCAAAAAGAAATACTACGCAGCATTTCTCTTTTTATGCTTGCGCTATCGTCTGATTTCGCCAATCTAAACGCCACAAAAGACGCAAGAACTTAAAGTATCAACAGAGAAATGCTGCGTAGTATTTTTACTCATGAAGTTTGCTCGTGTAAATACAAGATTCATAGTGATATCTGTCACTTGAATAAAAAAAAATACTTGCTCAAGTTTGATAAGTAGTGAAGTTATAGGAGTTGACTTTTCGCTCGGACTTTTAGAACATGCTGGAAGTGTGGTTGTTTATGAACACATAAGAACATACAGTCAACTAGATGCAAGAAAAATTGTGACCTTTTTTGTCGATGTAAGGTTTTTTTTACGTTGGAAGCGTTTCATCTAATCTCGAAGTTATTATTCCATGCACCAATGTGATTCTGAATCGCTGAAAATTTGTTAGATAGTTAAAAATCCACGAGAAACTCACTCAGTAAATAAGAAGTCAATATAAACAGATCCAAAGGATGTGGCTTTTCCTCTAACTAACATCTCGTACAAAATTTTTCTGAATCTATTTGTGATTGAAATGTTACTCTAACAATGATTAAAACTAAACAGTTCTATTATTTTCGGTATGTTGGTAAAGACTCTTTTTTTGACGGAAGTAAAAATGACTTTAACTCGTTAAACAACAACTGAGAGGTCAGTCTGACGATTTCGAATTATGCATTTGAAAGATTACCTTTGGAAAGTGTTTTGTCAGGAAGACAAACGTTGAACTCTGAGACAACTGATGGTAAAAGTTCATCGGGTTTGACAAATTGCATTGAAACATTACTGGACAATGATGGTAATGGTAGTTGTTTTCTATCCACTTTTCCTTTTGCATTCAGCGGTAATTTGTCGAGGACAATAAAATAAGATGGAATCATGTATTTACGAAGATGATCTTTGCAATAATTTCGAATCGATTCAGTGTCAAGCTGTGAGTTATCACTGATGACATAGGCTACGAGTAAATCCTCATCTTGGGATAATTTGGTCACGAAACAGTTGGAGATCTCATTTGGACAGCAAGCTATGATTGTTCTTTCCACTTCAGCTGTTTCTATTCGTTGATCATCAATCTTTATTTGAAAATCGATACGTCCAACATGCACAAGTTCACTTTTTTCATTGTAACAAGCTAGATCACCTGTCTTGAAAAATTCTTCATTATTGATTATTACCCGGGTTCTACTGGTCAACTCTGGATTGTTATAATAACACTGGAAAAGACCAACACCTGCAAATATGCGGATGATAAAATTTTATAATCTTTAGAATAGAAGAGATAATACCTGCAAGATAAATTTGACCAATTGTGTTTGTATCCAATGGCGAAATGACTTGTTCATCGTTGCTTTCATCCACAAGTAGACATCGATATTCTGCTAGTGAACAACCAATAGGTAAGATACTTAAATCTGTAAGTTCACCAATACTTTCTTCGATTTCACGCCCTATAGCAGCATTGGTTTCACTCATGCCGAATATTAAAAAGATGCGAACTTGTGAAGAAAATGACTTGATTTTAGCTAGATGTTGTGCTTTAGGAGATTCGCCCGATATCCATAAGATGCGTACTCGTTCAAGTGTTTGATTACGTTCTCTATTGTTCAGCTCGAGGTAGTCAAGCAGTACTTTAAGCAATGATGGATTGATAAAGAGAACAGTAATTTGTTTTTCTTCGATAATCTTGCAAAAACGGGTCATGTTCCAATTATCTTCAGGTGGCAAAAGCACTAGTGTGCCTGAAGGAACTATCACCAATGGCATCAAAATTTCAAATAAATGAATGGCCCACGAGGATGCAACTACTTGAAGAACTTTATCACCGTGTTTGGTGTTCCAAATCATCAAATTATGAACACCTGCTATAAGAGATGCGTGTGTATGCACAATTATTTTTTGTTCACCCGTTGTACCAGATGTACAAATAATAAAACTTGGACTGTCATTCTCTACATATATCTCTGGAAAATGAATAAAACATGTGAAGATGAATTTCTTTCGAAAAAGAAATAATTACTTTTTTCAGCAACTTCTTCTGTGATGTCAGCTAGTAAAAGATGTTCAAGATTAATCATTTGAATTTGCTCACTAAACGTATTTGCGAACTTATCACGTGTATTTTCATGAACAAGAACACATCGACCTTTGGTTTTATCAATCAATGCACGAACACACATAGATGGATCAATAGGACTTAGAGGACAATATGCACCACCAGCACACATGATTCCTAATAATCCACATACCATTTCTAAACTACGATCAACATATTGATAGACAATTTCACCTATCTCGATTTGAAGATGCTGAGCGATACGTATCACATTCATCAGTAGTTCGCCATATGTCCATGTCTGTTCATCAAGCTCGATCGCCACTTGATTTGGAGAGGCATGTGCGACTTTGAAAAAAAGTTCAAGAATGTTATTTGATGGCAGGATCATAATCAAAGTTCATATACAATCTAGAAAATAGATAGGAGAGAGAGAGAAATCGTTTATCCAAGACAATAGTGAACATGAAAGAAGAAAAAATTGAATAAACACTAAAAAAAAGGAGCTAACTACAACAAGACAGCTTTTTCCGTTACATAATACAGAGAAAAATAATCCATCAATATTTTAAAAGGCAAGAGTGATCAGCATCAAGCATTATGATCGGTATCTTTTTACCACCTTTCACTGACAATTTGATGTTAATTCACGTACGCTCATTTCTTTTTAATCATGCAAGTAGATGTGTTACTTTTCTCCATTTTTCTTTCAAATCTAACTTATGAAAAGAAGAAGCTTTGACGCGATGTTGTACAATAAAATAATCATGATAGAAGCGTAAGTCTTTTTTTTAATCAAACAAAATGTTTCAAAAGAACAAATTATTATTACTTGAAAAACACGAATATGAGACAAGGTCCTGCTCATATCCTCATTTGACTTTTATCACCTTCATTGGTAATAGATCTTTGTGCATCGTTGACAGACATACATTTCTATCTTTTATTGTCTGAAACGATTGAATACTATTTGAGATTAATGTAATTGCCAAGTAGACCATAATTACATTCAGAACGTAGCCATCTCTATGCTACGTTACATTATCAACAAAATATCTACCTTAGAAGGATAGATGTGATGATAATTAAAGTATTCATCGTACGCCGTACTCATCTTGAAAAAATGGAAAAAGAAATTACCTATCTAGTAGTACAATACAAGATAACAACTGATGTATGTATCTTCTCTTAGAAATAATCCAAAAATGGAAAAAATAAACTTACTATCTTGTTGAAGTGAGTATAAGTTGCTACATAAGCTCGTCGGTTGTTTGCAGCGAATGATCCAGCGTGCCTCCAATAAAACTTTGTTAAGCGATCTGTAATCCGTCAACTAGTCGTGCTCAAAGTTACTCAATCCTTCTTCTGTCACAAAATATAAAAGTGGATATTTTTGATAAAAAGGAAATACACAATTGCTGTACAGAAAGCCGTTTTATTTGAATGAATTGTACAGCAGTTTTCCAAGTTTTCATCAAAATTTCCATGAATTTGATGAACAGAATAACTCAATCTTCGGACTATTATTTTATTTAGCTTGTAGCTTTGTGAAACACGACTGTAAAAGAATATTGAGTACACGCCAAGAAAATTTTCGACCCCTCCCTGCCCCTTACAGACGATGACAGACATGTCGAAAAAGCAATCAGCATAGACTGCAAAATAACTGATATTTTAACCGATCGCAATTTGTTTAAAAAGAGTGTGGAGTGCCCGGAGCTATGTGATTAGATGATTGTCCTGTCTACAATTGAAGCGGCTTTATCGTATTTCACATTTTAATCTGGTGGAGATTGCGCTTCACCTAAAGTAATGTCGTAGGATAGAATTATATGGTATAGAGTACTACTACAGGGGTTGCTTTGCCATGATCATCAATTTCATAAAGCATGATTGGTAAAAAAAAATCAGAGGAAGTTTTCAAATTATATTTGCCGCCGCTTAGGCATATACCGAGACAAAAACTTCAGTATATGTTGAAATAAGCAGGTTGAGTTGATTTTTGACAGAAGTTAATTCTTTTCTTTCAGTTTTAATTTCGTTTTATTTATTAATAACGTCCGATCGAAAATTTTTTGGACAAGATGTTTGTTCACTTTTGATCCGCTAGAAAGTATTTTCGACGAGTCAAAAGCGCTATGAGTTAGAACCAGAATTTTGTTCTCTTTTCGAATATGGGCTTAGAAATGTTGCATCTATTTTTATTCAAGAGTAGTGAGGAATTTTTTGAAAGGCCCGAAAAATAATTTTTAATGGTGAATCAACACGCTTTTGTTTACCCCTGAAAGTCCCTTTTCGAACAGGCTAAAAATTATCCGAGACGGTCATTTTGTAGAGTAAAAACTTCTCTACAAAATGTGATATCGAACTAAACTGTAGCTTCTACCCAGTTGAAGTTACAGTTAGGGGTGGACCATTTAATTTAACGGGACTTAATTAATAACATTAATTAATGTTTTTCATTAATCATTAATATTAATGATTAATGATTGATATGAAGCAAATATTTTTTTCTATTTTGATTTTTTCATGGAAGAAAAGATAATTTAAGAAATGCTGAGGGTAATCTCGATAATTTTTCAGGACCTCTCCAATGGAAACCATCGTAACTATTCAAGACAG